CAATTTGAAGGTCAGCCTAGTCAACAAAGCAAGTTCCAGGCCAGACAGGGATCCATAATGAGACTCGATCTCAAAACCTGCTGACCGACCCAAACGTTGGTAGGAAAAGACAAAGAAGCTTATCACTGACGTGTTAGCATCGCTCAGCAGTGAGCTTGTAAACAGATCCCATTTAATAATGGTGAGTAGCTGAGAGTAGTCTTATCATTTGACTGACTGGTGAAGGAGGGTATTCTTTAAAGTTCCTAGAGGACCACAGAACACTGAAGGATGGGAACAAGAACAGGGAGATAACCCTAGATGATCTCAGTCACTGCTAGTCCATGAACCTGCTTCTCCATCCTCCTGAGCTGAGACCAAGCTGGGACTTCTGATTTCTCTGAAGATGAGCTGGCTGCCAAGTCCTCACCATGGACACCAAGACTTTTACATTTCTGTCAGCCTGGCAGTGATTGTTAACAATCTACCTAATCACACGGTGATGGTGGCGGTGGCGGTGGCGGCAGTGGCGGCGATGCCTTTAATCTCAGCACTAAGGAGGCAGAAGCAGGGGGATCTCTGTGAGTTTGAAGCCAGCCTGGTCTACAGAGTGAGTTCCAGGACATCAAGGACTTACACAGAGAAACTCTGTCTCGAAAAATAAAATAATAATAAAAAAATGGAAGAATCTATTTAATAATGAGAAAATGAAAGTTCTTTTAATTACCAGAAAGTTTTTTGTTTTATCTTTGGCAGTTTTCTAGAAATTTTTGACAAACTTTGAAAAGTGTGTGTGCGTGCGTGCGTGCGTGCGTGCGTGCGTGCGTGTGTGTGTGTGTGTGTGTGTGTACACGCTCGTGCGCACGCGCGCGGGTGCACACCTGCCTCAGAGATTGACACAGGCTGTCTTCTATCTTTCTTCAATTTATTTTTTGAGACTAGTCTGTCACTGAACCTGGAGTTCATCAGTTTAGCCAGACTGGCTGACCACTGAGTTCCAGGGATCTGCCTCTCTCTGCTGCCAGTTCTGGTAATGTTACAACTTAAGTCATTTTTCTCATTATCAGCATGTGGACAGCGGAGCAGATGCTGAACTAACTTCATTCCCAGTTTCATGAAAATAAAAGTGTATACACACACACACACACACACACACACACACACACACACACACACACGTATGTATGTATCATAGCAGAAATAAGCATTTACACTTGAAATCTGGAAATAGAGATAAAGAAAATAAACTCCTGTAGTCATTAGAAATAGGTTTCACATCTCCTTTTTTTAAGTTGAAACATTGTAGCCTTGATATAGAGTAATGGGGAAAAACTTGTTTTAAAAAGAGAACTTTGCTAGTATTTTGAGGTTTTAGGGCCACTGCAGGCATGTTGACCTGTATTGCATAAGCAGACCACAGTCATTTAAAAATAACCTCTATTACTTATGAAAGTGTGGCTGTTGGTTTACATGACTCCTGAAGACAGGATTCCACACCATTCCATTTAATCTTCGACACTTTAATGCCATGATATTAATTTTTTATCCAAGTTTCTGTGATGTCCCTGAAGAAGGCTCATTGTTCTTTTATGAAGAGTCTTGGGGATTTAAAGCATAGCCCTGGCTTTGTCTCACAGCTGTGGTCACTTTCACTAGGAAAGGAAAGATGAGGCATTTGTCCCTCTCACCCTCATGCACCCCAGGAAGCACACCCTGTGCTCTACTTCAGGGGGTTCAGCACCCTGGGAGCCAAGTCCGGGCAGTTTGGTAGATAGACCCTTGGAACTCACAGTCCTGCACACCTCTTTCTACCCTCTCAATTTAAATCCTGAGGAGCGTTTCTTCTCTCCTTTCTGTGTCTCATGGGCCCTATTTGACAAGACGGAAATGCCATCTGTTCCCTACTGTTTGTCACCAAATATAAATGTGTTGTGACTATCATCAGGAGTTATCTTTGGTCACACCCTTGTGACCTCTGTAGCATGGTTTCTAAAATTGTTCTTATTTATTTTGTGAGTTTATCTATACACATGCATGAACATCGTAGCAGAAATAATGGCAGTCTGAGGATAACTCCTGGGAGTTGGCTTTTCCCATCCTACCATGTGAGTTTGGGGCATGGATCTCTGTCAGGCTTGGCAGTGAGTACTGAAACCTGCTGACCCATCTCTTTGGCTCTGAAACCTGTTTTGATAAATGATTTTACAAACAGTGTAGCAGGCGTTCTTTGGGCCACCATCAGCTCCCAAATCTTGACACGGAGACTTATTATTGGTTAGGAATGCTCAGCCTGAGCTTTGGCTGGTTTCTTGCTAGCTCTTATAACTTAACCTGTCTCTCTTCATCTACGTTTTGTCTCAGGGCTTTTTACTGTTCTTTCATTATGTATGTCCTACTCTGGTCTAGCTGACCAACTGGCCCTGGGTGTCTCCCTCATTCTCTCCTCTCAAGCCTAGATTTCTCCTCCTACTTATTTTCTGTCTGCCAGCCCTGCCTATCCCTCTACTGCCTAGCTATTGGCTGTTCATTCAGGCAGGCAAGGTAAAAAAACAGCACCCCATCTTTACAAAATTAAACAAATGCAGCATAAACAAATGTAACACACCTTTGCATCTTTGCCTAGTTAAGCAAATACAACATACCCAGACACAACACACTGTTACATAGTTAAAGTAATATTTCACAACAAAACAGTATTTGGGGCAATCTTCAAACACTTTCAGTTGTCTAGTCTTCAGAGTTAATTACTTAAAGTTATTATTATTATTATTATTTCAGACTTTGCTATACAGCTCAACCTAGCCTTGAATTTGTATGTCTCATGCCTCGTGGGATTATGCTGCTTGGCTTTTGCTTTTACTCTCTTGCTTTTATGACGGTGTGTGTGTGTGTAATTCAGGCCTCTGGCCTCAAATTTGTCATGTAAGCCAAGGGTAACCTTGAACTTCTGATTCTCTTGCCTCTATTTGTTGAGTTCTGGGATTATCATGTTTGATTGTTTGGGGTGCTGAGGCTTGAACTCTGGGCTTCATGCATGTGAGCCAAACAGTACTAATTGAGCCACCTCTCCCACCACCTGGATTCAACTCCTGGCCCCCTCATTCATTAGCTGGCGTCCTTTGGTACTTCTATATCTTGTTTATGAGTCTTGCTTTGTCTTCTCAAAGGGGAAAGTTATGGTCCTTTATACAGCTGTTAGGAATGCTGTGTAATCAAAGTGTTTAGAGCCATGCCCATGCATATGGCAGATAGTAAGTGCTACAAACGTGGGTACTATTGTTATTATTATTCCTTCCCACTCTTTAGACATAGTCCTGACATGAAAAATGGTCACTGGAAGGGAGTTCATTTGGAATTCAGTTTTCTCTTGTTAAAATGAAATGACACATTGTCTCTACTTGGGCCTTGGGAGTCCTAGTGTAAGGGAAGGGATAGTGGAGGGCCTCACTATGTGACAAGGCTGAGAACACCTATGCCTGGCCCTTGTAAACTAATGAACAGCATTTCCTTTTGTTAGTCTGAACCAACTCAGCAGAGCAGCTGAGTAACCTCGGGCTGTTCCTGACAGATCTCAATTGAGGAGAAACAAATCAATTATTAACGGTGTATTTGGTAGGTAAAATCTTTAACATAGTGACTCACAAGAGAGATAATGATGGGAGGGTTTGGATAATAAACATCAGAGAATAAAGGATGGTTTGGGTTTGGGAGTGTATAATGATTTTTATACTTTGCATATTTTAATCTGTTTAATATTTAATATGCCCGGCTAGCTGTTAGCCTTACACTTATTTTTTAGTTTTCCTTCCAACATGTTCTTATAAAAAATTGCTAATGTATATCAAAAGTTAAGGGATTTTGATTGTATTTAGTATACAGAATCTTCCTTTTTTTATAGTCTTGGGTATTGAGCCCGGGGCATCAATTGTATGCTAGAGAAGAACTCTGCCCCTGAGTCACACACTGACCTCCAGTGTGCAGATTCCTGTGTGTGTGTGTGTGGGTGTATTTGGGTGCATGTGGGTGTGTTTTAGAGACAGGGTTTCTCTGTGTAGCCTGGGCTGTTCTGGAACTTGCTCTGTAGACCAGGCTGGCCATGAACTCAGAGGTTCACCTGCTTCTGCCTCCCAGTGCTGAGTTTAAAGGTGTGCACCACCACTGCCCAGACTCAATATGCAGATTCTAACATTAACTTTTATATTACTTCCTTACTCACAGAACCGTATATATGTTTCTTGTCTGATTAACTTGATTTTGGTTATTCGATGATCTGCACAAGAGAACTCATCTTTTATTCTAAGCCTAAAGAAGCTGATAGTGATGCCCATACACAGAAAACAATGTTTTTAAAAGGTTATGGGTTGTGAATTCCTTTTATTGGGAGAATTCTTTCTTTGGGTGAGGAGCCTCAGCGATGGAACACATGCTTGGATGATGTATTGGACCTGGGTTCAATCCCCAGTGCCAGAAAAGGATGACTCAAGATGGAGCTAAAAAAGATATATAGAAAAAGAAGTCCTTGGGAAAACAATACAATAGCCACTCTGGTGTATTTGTGTTTTTAGTTTCACTTTGCAGCCTGTACAGGCTCAGCTCTTACTGTTTCCAGTAAGTGGCAACATTTATGGAACACAAGGAACTGAGGGAATTCAGTTTTAGAGAGAACTCTTAGGAGTTGAAGGCCAAAGATAGCAATGGATGTTGACTTTCCTCCCTCTAGCCACATGGCTGGGTGCATCTGGATTTGAAGTGCGTAGCTTTCCTTTTTTATATCGTGCACAGAACCAACAAGGCTAGTTCTTTTGGAGTTCTGCCAGCAGTTCCAGAGAGCCTGAAAGGGTCACAGGGCACAGTCCTGATGATGATTCAAAAAGAAGGTGTGGTTACTTTGTTCTTCGTGTACTAAGGAAACTGTGCCCGAGAGCCTCTGCTCTTTGGGAGGGTAGACTTGGCTTTTGTTGTTTCCTGCATGTTTACCAGACTTGCAGAGATGCAGAGTTATAAACGAATGTTTTATTCCTTTCTACTTTCAGTTCACCTTAACTGAGATGGACGTGGTCTAATCTCCACTGAGTCAAAGAATGGCCGCTGGCTCTGCGCTTCCCATGGAAGATGGACAGGTTTCCCTGGGTATTGATGATCTTCACTTTTCACTGCAAGGTGAGTTCAGAGTTGGAAACTTGTCCTCCTCTAATTCTGGGCCCAACTGGCTTCTCTGCCTCCTGTGGTTTTGAAAGCCTATCTTTATTTTCTAACTGGAGAAGTCTACAATGCAGTATTAGACTGTTTTTAGCTCAATGCTCTGATCTCAAGAAGTCCTAGAAGGAATTGGTTATCTTTAATTTCTTATGCATATGTATATTTTATTTTATATTTTATTTGCAATCTAAATTTGCAAGCTAACTATGGCTTGCTTGAGATTATTTACACTTTTTTTTTTTTTTTTACGCAGAAGCTTTGACGGTGCATCTGTATTTTGTCCTAATTGGTGGGAACAGTGTTGGTATTATGGGTGGGTGGGATTTCAATAGGAACACCATGTGTACATCCACAGTCTTTTCAAAAGTGCTTCCTGCTGCACTTAGCCATATTTTTGTTACCTCTTTGAAAATTCATTAGCTGTTAAATCTTGGTGTTGTAGCTAACTAGCATAAAAATGAGGTTATGGCAAATATTTGAAAACATTTACGTAACTCTTTTAAAAATAATCCTTAGTTATGGACAACATAATTCAACAGTTAGATGTCCCATAAAAGCTACAAGTTTTGAGTCACTTTTTGGTAAAATGACTTTCTGATACCTTCCTTTTTAATTTATTTTATTTTTAAGACAAGATCTTGTTGTGTAGCCCAGACTAGCCTCGAACTTTTGCTTTTCTAGCCTTTTCCTCTTAAGTGCTGGGAGGCATGATGCCTGACTCAAATATTTTCTCTTTGAATCTGCCTTTCGGGTTCAGTTGTAAATTTATATCTATTGGAATAGACTGTATCTCTATGCAGTACATTTTAAAAAAATAAATATTGTGTGCTTGGGGCATGGTGGTACACACCAGTAAAGCTGGCACCTAGGAGATAGAAGTTGGAAAATTATGGGATAGCATGAACTACCTAGCCAGACCCTCTTCCAAATATAACCCAAGACCAAAAAGAGATGATTTTAATTTGTGTAGAGTAAGAAATACTTATTTGTTAGGAGGTAGTCTTTGCGATAAAAATTGGAGAATCTTTCATTTTTTACTTTTGAATATATAATCACAAAGTAGTTGAAATCACATTTTTTTTTTATTTTTTGGTTTTTCAAAACAGGGTTTTTCTGTATTGCTTTGGAGCCTGTCCTGGAACTAGCTCTGTAGATCAGGCTGGCCTCGAACTCAGAGTGCGCCACCAAAGTCTGGCAAAATCACATTTTTATTTAAGTGAAAAAGATCAGTGTTCTTGTGGACAATCTGGATGCTGCAAAAAGTTTTCTGTCCTCATATTTCTCACACTGGTTCATTGAATTCAGCTGAACGATGTCATCTTTTGACCGTTATCTCATTTGTGGAATACCAATTTTAGTTGCAGCTGTGTTGAAGGTGGAGGGTCAATGTTATACGAAAGGCTTTTAGCAGGTGCCTGCCACAAAGTAGGGACTCAGTAAATACTTCTTTTTGTAGGGCACAGCTATAGTAGATAGAGACTTGGTGGTATATGGGAGGTGGGGGGGGGGAGGTTTTTGCTTTGCTGTTTGTCATCAGCGGCTTCCTGTCGGTGAATCATGGTGAGGTCATAGGTTCTCTCTGCTCTGGTGCCATTTTCTCGCCCTCATCTCCTGCCACATCCCTACCTGTTCCCTGTAACCCACTCCACGGCTCCCTAAGGAGCTGTGGTCCTCCCTTCCTGAGTGCTCTGTGTAGGCTGCTCTAGGCTGGGAAAAGTCCGGCTTATCCATCCCAAGGCTAGGTAGTCTCGGCCTTCTCTGTGAGCTGTCCCGATAGGCTGAGATAAGCCTTTCCTCTTCCATCCCCTTTATCTCTTTGGGACCTTGTAGATTTGTGATTATTATACTTAATACTCTTCCTTGCCATGGAATGAGCTTCCTGAGTTTTACATATCGGCCCCAGCTCACCAGTGAGTTTTGTACAAATGCCACTTGATCATCACAATCTCCTTGTAAGGTACATCTTTGCATCTCTCTGAACAGAGATGCTGTGGCTCGGAATGATTTCGCCAGAGTCCTGCAGCTGAGTTGTGACTTGACTGTGCCCCTCTGGCATGCTAAAGAACAAACAAACTGAAAGGAGGGTTCCATTCACGGTTTTTCTCTGGCTCCTTACTTCTTCTCATCCGCAGAAAATGTGATGCTAGAATGTAGGCAGGGGATTTCAGGTTCCTAGGTTGCTTGAAATAACTTAACAAATTACCCAGAAATGTGTGGTTTTGTATAATGTGCTTTGAAGTACATACTTTTCAATGGGAGACAAGAATGGGCTATTTAGCAAGGGGAAGTGATGCCTGTGCTTTGGATCATTCACTTTCTTGATGTATGTAGAGGGCTGTGGTGTTGTTGATGCTTTGCTTCGTGGGTAGGAGAAATAGAACAGCATTGTAGCATCATCAATACTGGGCAGGATCAGTTCACATTAAACAAGGACACTCAAGATACATGCACAGTGCCTAGACTTTCCTGTCTATGCATGGCAAAGACAGAGTGGAATGAATGTTTCCCGAGGCTAGACTCCATGTTGGTTACAGGTTTATGATGGTTCTTCTAGCTCAAACTGAAGCAGAAGAAGGGAGGGAAGGGCAGGGAAGGAAGGAACTTGCCTATACCCGAGGAGGCAACTTTGGTACCATAATATAGGATTATTTTGGGGCAACAAATAGTATTATTTCCCTAAAGTACAACTTAGCTGAAGGCTATTGGTAAAAATCTTAAAAAGCGTTTGAGGGGCCAGCAGGAGGGCTCATCGGTTAAAGGCAATTGCAGAGCAAGCCTGGTGACCTGAGTTTGATCCCTGGCATCCAGGTTGAACTGGAAGGGAGAACTGACCCCATAAAGTTGCCCTTTGACCTCCATAGGCATGTTATGGCAATGCAATAATAATAAACTTTTAATTTAATAATTGCATTTTATTTTTTTAAGTGCCTGGTTTCATTCGTGATGTAAAACAGCCTTGCATTTTCTCAGATTTTCATGTGCTTGCTGGTACCTTGCAGTTAAAGAGGAAGGAGACCCTCTGTAACATGGGGGTGTGGGGTGCTGTTCACAAGAAAGTGTGCTTTCTTCCTGTTCATTCAGACCCTGACTCCGAGATAGGATAATCAGCAGAATGGCTTGATTAGGGCACAGCATCAGTTTTATTGGAAAACAGACAAACCCTCATTTGAGGCAAGGAACTTTTGGTCAACCCTAATGCAGAATACTGTGCTTAGGAAAAATTTAAATATCTGTACAGAAATGTGGCTCATAGAACAGTAAGCAGTGACTCCCTCCCTCCCTCCCTCCCTCCCTCCCTCCCTCCCTGTCCACTTTCATTTATTCATCATTACTTTCCTCCCTCCCTCTTTATCCCCTTCCCTTTCTCTCTTTTCCTTCCATCCTTCTTTCCCTCCCTTCCCTTCCTTCTCCTTCTTCCCTTTTCTCCTTCCTTCCTTTCCCTTTCCCACCCTCGGGTGTCTCACAGTGTAGCCCAGGCTGGCCTGGAACTCATGGTATAGAATAGGCTAGACTTAAAATTTATGGGTTTGGGAATGGTGGGACTACAGGAGTTTGCTTGATTTTTTGAAGAAATGTGAGGTTTGTTTGTTAGTTTAGTTTTGTTTTGATGAGGTCTTGTTATGCAGGCCTGGCTGGCCTAGAACTTTCTGTGTAAAACAGGGCCTTGAATTCACAGAGATCCCCTTGCCTCTGCCTTCCAGTGCTATCATTAAAGATGTGTGCTCTCATGACCAGCTTGAGATACCTTTTGCGTCTTCTGTCTGGCAAAGGGAAGAACATTGAAGTGTTCAGATGCCTAGGGAAGGATGTAATGGTGTTCACGGGTGTGAAGGCACTGACTTTAGGTGTGAGGGATGCTGGCTGTCCAGGCTAGCTCAATCATGAGAATTCTTTTGGTTAAAGGACTAGGTTGATCAGAAGCCCTTGCTCATGCAAAGCAATTGCTCTACCACTGTACTACCTGTCCAGTCTCTCTTGAGAAATTCCAAAGGGAGTTGGAGGCAAGGTTGAACTGTTTTGGACTTGTCCCTTGCTCACTTCCGAAATTATTAAATTGCTTCATGTTGAACTAGCAGATATAACACATGGGCCCCTAAAGGACACCATATAACCATTTTGTTTTCACATATAGGGTAGGCCAATGCTTTAGAAAACCAGTGTCTAGCCCCAGAATGTCCTTAATTAGCCAGGGATCTAGGAAGGGACTGTATTCTATTACTTCATCTACCAAGAGAGGAATTAATGTTCATGTGGCCCAGCCTGGTACCACTGCGTGGTTAGCTGTCTCTGAGGACCTATGTGAACACACGTTCAAACCAGTTTCTTTGTCATCTCAGACAATGTTCGTATGTTTTATTTAGCACTGTTATCATCTAGACGGCATATCATGAAACATTAAAAACTTCTCCAGGGTAGCGCTAGAGCTAGATGGTGAAATCTGATCTTTGCCGCTAGAATATGACTGCATTTAAATGGGTTCATTATTGACTGAGTGTTCTTCTGGAGGGTTTTCTATGTCTGTCTTTCTGTCTGTCTCTTTTTTCTTTCTCCCTCCCCCCCCCCAGACAGGGTTTCTCTGTGTAGCCCTGGCCGTGCTAGAACTCTCTCTGTAGACCAGGCTGGCCTCATACTCACAGAGATCCTTCTGCCTCTGCCTCCTAAGTGTTGGGATTAAAGACATGCGCCACAACCGTCTGGCTACTTTCCATGTATTTCTGACTTTTAGTAACATTAAAATTTATCCACTGAGCTATCTTGACAACCCTGTGGCATTTGATTTTTACTTAGTAGATGTGAAGAGGGTATAGGACATAGATGGAAATGGGCTGAGCACCTTCGTGGATCATGGCATCTGGTGCCTGCTGACGTCAGGGGGAGGTGATGTCACACAGAGGCAAACCTCCCTGTGATAAGTTAAGTATTTAACTGTCCAGGTTCACCATCTTAGTTTTGGTGTCTAT